GGCAGGAGAATTTCCTGGGATTTAGGACTGGGGGGCGTAGGGGAGGTGTGATGATGCCCTCTGGCTGTGAGGCAGCCCCTCAGGGCTCGGCCCCAGGGCTGAGGCCTCCCGGCTGCAACCAGTCCTTCGGTCAGCTGGTCTTTCCTGGCCTGACGGCTCAAGGGCTCCTGCTCTCGGTTTGATGGCTTCTTCGGAGGCCTCTCTCAGGACGGGATTCTTCCTCACCCTTGTCCCATCCCCTCACCTGGAGCCTCTCCATGGCCTCTTCCGTGCACAGGATGTCCTCCTCGGTGGCAGTGAGGTACTCAGGAGACTCCCCATTGAGAACGAGGGGCTGCAGCAGGAGGGAGGGGGCCGCGGTGGTGCTGGCACAAGAGGAGGGGGAGGGGGAGGAGGAGGAGGGGGAGAGCGAAGGCGGGCCGCCCGATCCTCCACCCGGGTCGTCCGTCTTGGAGCCTGGAAAGGCACAGGAGGAGGTCGGGAGCTGCCCGAGGGAATCTCCAAGGCACCCTCGTGATTCCTCCTGGGTCTCCCCCGCCCAGCCGAGAAAGCCCACCGCGGCCCTGCCGCCTCCTCGGGCACCGTTGTGGACTCCCAAGCCCAGCGCTCATCCTGGGAACGTGCCTCTGAGCACGGGAGGAGTGCCTCTCCCATGGTCTCCCTCCCGAGGGGGGGAGGTTGGCCCCTCTCGCGCCCGTACCGGCAAAGGGGGTCGCTGAAAGGCCCTGAGCAGAGAGCAGTTCCCGGAGCCGGGTCACCTCCTCTTTCAGCTCCCGGATGAGGCGGGCGTTGGGGTCCTCGTTGATGATGGCGTTGCAGCGGATCTGCTTGGTGCGGTCGGCGTAGCTGGGCGGGAAAGAGGGGAACAATCCAAGGCTGGCCGGAGGAGGAGGAGGAGGCGGCCGGCCACACACACACACACGCACACCAGTCTCGGCGGCCTCCCTTTCTCCGCCCAGGAGTGGGGGAGACCCTCCAGCCACCTCCAGGTAAGGACAACTGGTTCTCTTTATCTTGGCACTCCATGCCGTCCTCCCCCCCCTCACACACACACACACGCCTCTCACCGGAGGGTGCTCAGCGTCTCCTCGTAATTGATATCAGCCGGGCTGAGGGCCGCGATCATGGCCGTGCGGGAATTGCCACCTGAGAAACAGGAAGCAAAGACCGTTGACCTGGAGAAGGATGGGGGTCGGGGGTCGGGGAGCCCCCCTGCCCCATCTGCCCGATTGCCCCTTGTCCCTTGCGAAGGGCTGCAAAGCCAGGGCTTGGACGCTCCTCGGGGAGAAATCCAAGCGACTTTTCAGAGATTCACATGAACAAGTGAGAACAAAGCGGCTTCACTGGAATAAGAACCAACTTGTTCCAGACTCCTCAAGAAGTTATTTTTAACTGGGAGGCCCCCGTGTTTTAAAACACTGTAGGGAATAAGGGTTGTTAAATAACCCCATAAACCCACAACCTTTTAAAGAGTAATGGGAACAAATTACTTTTAAGTTTTCTAGGCCCTGCAAAGAGTGGAAGAAAACAGGACCAGCCTTGACATTTTTAGACGCTGGACCTCTTTCCAGCCGGGCTTAATGAGAATAAAGACACCTCCTGCCTCTGACCGGTAGAAGGCCAGGCCTCTGAAACCAGGCCAGGTGGTCTCTCCTCTTACCTTGAGGTGCCAGGACCCATACCCACGCTGCCTGGGCACAACCGGAGGGGGGGGGAGGGGAAACGGGACTAGGGTCCCGGCTTGGGGGAACCTCTTGAAGGATTCAGCCCCATAAACTGGAGCTTCTGCCTCTCCTTCAGCTGAGAATACGCCCTGCCTTCAACCCTGCTCCCCATGTTTGCTGACAGGCCACCCTCCCACCTGCTAGCTCTGCATCTCCCGGATCGATCGATCTCTCTCTCTCTCCCTCCCCCCCCAATCCTCTTTCCCCTCTCTTGCCCCCAAAGGCTCCCCTCGGCCCTCACCCAAGTTCTCCTTCAGCAGCCAGGTGAGGACCGAGTCACGGTACGGGATGAATTCGGACTTCTTTTTCTTGTTGTTCTGCTGGGAAGCAAGGAAAGGGATGAGACAACGGAAGAAGGATCCGCAGCCCCCTCCCGTCCCGCAGGCACACGCCTTCGGCCAGCTCGTCCTCCTCCCCCAGCGCAGAGAGGGGCACCAGGTGTGAAAAAGGAGAAGGCCGGCCACCCGCCCTCAGTTTTGCCCCTGAAGGAGGGCAACTCTGACCTATGATGGCATCTCCCGCTTGGCTTTCCAAAAGCATCCCTAGAAAGGCAGGGAGAACAGGCAACACCCTCCCCCACACACACACACCAAGTGCTCCCAGCAGGGCAGGATATGCAGGGGTGTGTGTGTGTGTGTGTGTGTGTGTCATGGTTTAGGTTATTGAAGCTAGAATGTAATTTCTAAATGGGATTTGTAGTCATGAAATGGTGTAGAAGGAATCCATCTTGGTCTGTGTCATTTTACTAGAAGCATCGAGAAGCTGTTTTCTCTTGCAGCGAGTTAGGAATGTTATCATGTAGGCAGAGCCAAGACTGAAGACGAAGAGCCGAGCCATAACATCCGAGGAGGAATGTCAACAACACCTGCGATCCCATGAGAAAAGGAGGTGGAGAGAGACGAGCAATCCTTCGTCCTGATTGGCGTACGTCAGTGGAGAGTGAAGAAGGAGGGTGGTCCAGCATGAGAAGAAAATGGAGGAATGCTGACATAGAGAGAGACTTTTTTGTGCTTATGGATTTTTTGGACTATGCCTTGGATTATGGATTTTTGAATAGACTTTGGAGTTCCCATTGATTTGCTAGGATGTAGTTCATAGTAGGAGAATAGAAAGGGAGGCTCAGCCTTACCTATCTTTCAGTTAGTAGTTTTCTTATTTTATTTTTGGTAGCTGGGATTTGCTAGAATTCTAACTACCTTAATTATGGAAATGTTTTTGAATGCTATGCTTTGTAATAAACTGAATTTATCTAAATCTTTATTTTTCTAATAAAACAATAATACTAAAACTTATGCTTGGTCTCTTGAACAGATAACCCGCTACCATACTTAATTTGTTTTTCTTTAAGGCTACAAATTAAGCTACTTTGAGTCCAGTATTTTCCTGAGTTTTGAGAGTTCTGGATGACTCTAAGACTCATGATTTTAACTTGGTTTCTCAGTGGGAATAGACCTGGTAGAAGGGTGCCAGTTAGACAGCCTGGTTGAGACAAGGACTCATCTCAACTTAAATAGGGGTCAACTGGACTTGGAACCTCTCTATTCCAGCTTTCAGCATTCTCTTAGGAGAGCTGATGGTTACAGGGGGGGAACGACGACTGGGGATGGGAAACACAGCTTTTCATCCAGGGAACAGGGAGGCAACAGGGCAGGTTCTGAGTCTCAGAGCCCCTTAACCTGCAAGTAGGGCACAATCACACACCCCACCTGCTGTGCAGAGGCTACCTCCAAAACCTCTACGGAAGGGTGGGAGGAGCCACACAAGCCTCTCTCCCCCCCGGGACCTGCCCCCCCCCGCGCTGAGTGCCACTCACCATCTCTGCCAGGGCCGAAATGACTTTGCCTAGCGTCGTCAGGGACTTATTGATGTTGGCCCCTTCCTGGAAAGTCAGAGGAGCAAAGGAGGAGAGGAGCTGCCTTAAAAGGGGTTCTTTTCTGATCTGCTTCTCACAGGGAGGACTACAAGGTGGGCAATTTCTGACCCCCCCACCCCCCCATGCAGGCGGGCCATCTTACCTTTAACCGCACACCCTTTGCTCCCGAGGAATCCGCGCGCTCGCTCCCGGCCAGGTCGACGAGGCTGATCTTGCTGACCTGGGAAGGCAGGCAAGACGGTGCTTGGCGAGTTCAGGGGGAGAGGGCAGCAACCCCCCTCCCACCCAGCGGGCAAGGTGTCTGCTCATCTCCCAAAAGGCTCTGCTCCCCGCACAGCCTGCCCCACACGCCCTGCCCTGCGGGAGCGGGGGGGAGCCTCACCTTCTCTGTGTCAAGGTCCGTGAGTTCATCGTGACGGCGCTGCGTGAACACAATGGTAAACACGGCGTGGGACCGGCTGCTGGTCTCATTCATGTTGGTGGCAGCCACAGTTCTGGGAATGGAAGGAGAAGGGGATCCTCGTGAAACACCTTAGAGGGGGGGGCACAACAGAAGGAGCCCCCTCCTTTCCTCGGCCCCAAAGGCTGGCTCACCGGCTCTGCCAGAAAGCCCCGCTTCTTTCTTTCCCCCCAAAGGACGTCCAACTGGAGGCGCGGATCGGTTGCCGTCTTCCTCTGCCCGCTGAGGGGAGGCAGACCCCGGCTCCCCTCGCTCGGCCTCTCGCTTCCATCCCAGCTTGGCGCAGAGGATGAGCGAGGGAAGCGTGGCCCCGGGGGGGGCACTGCCAGCACGGCTAGACACCCTCTTTCCCCCCCCTCCACGTCCGGGCGTCTTGCCTGCACACTCACCTGGCTTTGTTGCCGCAGTCCATGAGGTCGGCGATGTCCTCGTAGGAGGTGACGGCGAGCTTGGAGAGGTCCTCCACGTAGGGCCCCAGAATGGGGTGCTCCCGCACACGCAGATTGCCACGGCTTTTGGGGTTCAGGAGGTCCCGCACCCGCTCGCAGTAGATCTCCATGTAGCTGACCTGGGGGAGAGGCGGACTCGGGCAGCGTGAGCGGCGAGGAGGAGGTGGCAAGGGGGGGGCCTGCCGAGGGCCCCCCAGGAAGGGGCAGGCGGGAGGGGGGGCGCACCTACCTCCACCGAGTAGGAGAGGTGGGGAGACTGGTTCTCGCTCACCCGGGCAAAGAGGTCTTCACAGAGCTGCCGAAAGAGGAAAAAGGAACAGAGCGCCGGTCAGGGGAGAGGGAGAGGGAGGGGATGGGGCCCGGAAGACTCATTCCCCTTGGAGCAGGGGGGCGGGGGGGGCGAGAAAGGAAGCCCCTGGGGCAGATGGAGCAGGTTTGCACCCCTTGCCACCCTTCGGCCCCCCGGGAGCCTTCTGCTGGGGGGCAGAGGAAGCAGCCCTGAACGGTGGAAGGAGGGGCAGCCGGTCACCCCTGCCCCCGTGTCCAGGCCTCAGGCGGTCACCGGGCAGAGCTGGAAGGTGCCCCTCGGGGAGTGTTTCAGTCTTGGCTAAGATGGCCATTGGGCTTCCTCAGAGCTCACTGGAACAGCTCTGAGGGATCCGGACCAGGACTTCACCCACCCAGCCCAGGGACGGTGGCCCCTGAGCCGTTCCTCTGCCTGCAGACCGAAGCTGCCCCCAGGCGCACCAGGGCAGAGCAGCACCCCCTCCTGCCGCCGAGGCCCCTTGCCCTCCACGAGGGGGATGGTTTATAGAAAGCCGCCCTGGCCGGCTGCCTCTCGTCGGCCCCTCTTCCCCCGCAAACCCTTGCGCACCTTTCCTTGGGGCCGGAGAATCTCACCCATTCCACCGTGGGCAGGAAGGAGAAGCCCTTTCCCGTTTTCCTTCACCTTCCCTCTCCGTCAACCGCCATAAAAGCCTGTCCCATCG